TGGTCAAGAGAGAATAGCTCATTGTCTCTTGACATGGTACATTCAAACAGAATTTCGGAACTCCACTATATTCCGCCCTTGTTTATTCATAATCACTTGGTGAATAAACCGGAAAAAAAGCAACAAAACAAGGCAAAAAACAGAGCGAGCGTTATCGCACGCTTGAGACGAGAAGCGTGCGTGAAAGACGCCGCAAGGCAGGGGTAGGAAGGGAATTACGCACCACCGGAGGGTTAGGCGCCAAAGGATTAATTAAAAGGGAGTGACTTTCGCGCCCTTTCCTTTTCCTATTTTTAGGATATAATCTTATAACGCCCGGATCAGATCGACTTACCTAGTGTATTGTGGTTACCCACTATTAGCCTGTTCCAGGAGCTCAGATAGTAGGGACGGCGCAAAGTAAAGTGAGCAGGAAAAAATAATAATAATAGTAATGGTTTATTAACAGATCCACTGGGTGACTCTTTTTGGCCCTGTTAAATTACATCAATTACAATTAAAAAATAAATCAAATTAAGTTATTTACAAATTATGCAGTATACAATTAAAAGTAGAAGCAGGATTAACAGAATCCAATTACAGTAAAACTAACTAATCACTCTGTACTCTATTACTTAAAAAATTCCTTGAAAGTCTTAAAAAGGTTCTGTAATCTTTACAGTTTCTTATAATTTCTGGTAGATTATTTTAAAATAGCTTCGACGCATTATTGGAAAGTGCCCTTTTCGGTCGGGACCCTTAATCTAATTGAATTGCTTGAACACAGTTCCTTAGGGCATTCCTGTTTTATCACTTTAAGCAGGAGCCCTGGCCAAGTCTCAGTGTTATGCAAAGCTTTAAAGCATGATTTCAGGAGGTTCAAATCTCTTCTCTCATTGATTGGAAGCCATCCGATTTTAAATACATCCCGAAAGTTCTTAACATAGTGACCGAGTACAAAACTTGCGGTAGCAAATTGAACCCGTTGCAACAACGAAGTATGAATTGTGGTAGAGCGTAAAAAACCAGATCGGCATAATCTAGTTTTGACAAAATGAATGTTTCTGCTAGTTGCTTTCTAAGCTCATATTTGGCGAGATATTTCAGTTTTCTTAGTATTGATAGAGTGGTGTAGCATTCACCCTGATGCCGTGTGCTTGATGTGATCGTCCCACTTAAGATGTTCATTGATATGACCTCCAAGCAGTTTGCAAGATTTAATAGAGTGAGGGGGTGTATTCTTTCTCTTTCTTCCGCTTTTTCCGCCAGTACGCTCCCTATTTCGCGCCACTCTCCGCTATCTGAACGCCTGGAACTGTCTAATCCACTACTATAAAGAGACTAAAGAGGAGCGGGCTCCTACTATATCACATTATTCGGCTCTAATCCTCTTTACTGATAATTCGAAGAGGGATGCTAAGTGCTTCAGTGATGTTGAGGAAAATGTAACAGCGGATTAGTAAGTAAATTAAGGGTAATGAGAAAATCAGAACACTCTAGTGAAGGTTGAAGTAGTGGAGAAAAACGAAATCTTGGAGGTCAGGATAAGCCCGGGACCATGCTTTTCAACAAGTCACACGGGGAAAATAAGATTATTCTTGGCTAAAAATTACGAGAAAAGTGTGAGGCTGCCATGGGCGAGGTTTCGTGGAGATTATAAACAAAATTTTCATTCGAACAAAAAATATTTTGTAGTTGATCCATCGTAACGTAAAAACTTCTTGATGAGATTAAAGGTGAAGAGAAAATATAATGGCCCATAAACTGAAGCTGAAGAAAATGTAGGGGCAAGTTAGAATAATTTCCAGGTATGAAGGGAAGAGTCAGGGAGCTTTTTCGTTCCAGGTACAGTGGGAATTACTCTTCGGTAAACTCCCGCTTTAAATATAGTCAAACCTGTGTTAAGGAACAGTGTCCGCATAGGAGTACAGTCGTCTCTCTCTTAACGGACACCACTGTAAGACGGACACCCAGAGTTGGTCCCTGCCTTTCTTCAAGACGGACTCTTGGTGCCGTTTCCAAAGGTGTCCATCTTAGAGAGAGTTGACTCTACTCAAAACAGGCATTAGACAGGTTTTTTCTGATGGCATGGAAACTGTTTTAACGTGAGAGTCAGTGCCAGCAGAACTGAGAAGCTGGTAGGCAAATTTTCGAAGGGGTAGAGGGAACACACAACAAACTCATTACCCACCGAAACGACGGAGACGCTGCTGTCACCAGCTGAGCGGTCTTTTTTATGTCATATGGCCTTAGGATCATATTGGTATCTTTTGAAGTGGGAAAAAAGTCGGGAATTTTAAATGCATCGGTATCATTACCTTGCGTTTGCAGTTCAACATTTACGGGTAACCTACTCTTCAGTCAAATTGCTCTCATGTAGATGACAGTTTTTGTCAGGGTCGGCTGAGGGTATGGTAATATAACATTACAACCGAAGTAATTAACCCAGTGTACCAAAAATTGCCCCCTCCCCAACTCTTCTCAATATATCCGAACCTAAAGGACACTTGGCTTACCGCATACACGGAATCATTTTTCTTTCAGGTGAAAGATACTGTATGCCCAATTTCAAATTTTAAAACCCCCGTATACCTTGAAACCCTGGCCGCCGGAACTAATGCCTCTCTTCAACGTGGGATAACCTTTTGGGAGGGGTGCCAACCGCAGCCTCAAATCGGATTTATTATTATCTCATCGCAAATTCTCATTGTAGCCTTTGTCATATTCTACCGCACTATCTTAAAACCACAATCACAATTACAATTGAATGAGTGTTAAAGCACTTATGTTGTTTACGATTTGCCAAAAT